TGGCGCATCAACTATCCTTGCCATCTATCTATCTATCTATCTATCTATCTATCTATCTATCTATCTATCTATCTATCTATCTATCTATCTATCTATCATCTACCTACCTACCTACCTACCTACCTACCTACCTACCTACCTACTTACCTACCACGTTTCTAAACTGCCCATATCCTTCAAGAGATGCTGTTTCTGTCCCACAACATGGCCTGAAACCTGACTGGAAGGGATCCACATAATCCATTTCATTCGGGACCTTCTGGAGCTACAGTTTTCCCACTAATTTCCCTACCTCTCATATATGTCACTTTTTAAATACATCTACAAGGCTGAGATTTTTTATTGAAGTGTAAAATTACAGGTAAGAAACTAATACAAAGGAGAACCTAAACTAGCAAAATAGAAAGTGCAAAAGGGAAAAGGAGGGGAAGGGAAAATATATAAAAAGGAAAAGAAAAAAAACACCTTTCCCTTAATTAAGATAAGTGTAAACATTTATAAACTTAAAACATTCTCTTATATTTCAACCAAAATGCTCTTCATCTCATAATCTCATATTTTATCTATTGGCAATAAAACTTCATCTTTCAATCTTAATAAGCAAAAATCCATTCAGAGCTACCAGAAATATCCATCCATCCATCCATCCATCCATCCTTAGAACAAGCCTTTCATAATTATTTCCTCTACTTTACAGAATACCTTGTCATTTTCTCTAAAACTTTATTCCCATGCCATATTTCACATCTATAAATAAATCCTTAAAATCTCATCATTCAAACTTAAATCAAGAGAAATTCCATTAGGAGCTACTAGGGAAAAAAAACTAATTGAAAATATTAATATTTAATCCCTTCAAATGATGTCCCGCAAATTAATTTATTTTCATCTCTTCTCAATTATAATATCACAGTTTAGCCCTTTCTCTAAAAATACAAAACTCTCTTCTTCTCATATCTTATCCATAAACAAGTCTTTAAAGCCTCATCATTCGGTTCTAGTCAACCAAAAAAAAAAAAAAAAAAAAACCACTAAAAGCTGTTAGAAAAGAGAGGATGATACACAACTTAACCTTAATCAAAAAGGCCCACTTTGCGCACAGCAAAGCTGAAATTTTGAATGCCTGTGATGTTTTGCTGCATAATGACAGTATTGCATAATTAAACAGCTTTTCAGGCCAGCAGGCACATTTGAAATTTTGAGAAAATGCTTGCGGGCAATTAAAACAAACTGGCTGTAATGCTGTGGTAAAGGTTTGTCTATTCATACAATGATTGCTGTAATGGCACTCATGAAAAAACTGTTTGCCAGAATAAGGATGAAGTTGTTCACTAGGTCCTGTTTCAGCCTCCAGGAAGCTCTTTCCTGCACGTTACACAAGATTACCTTGTCTTTTTTAAAAGTATTTTTATTGCTCGTTAATAATAACACAAAAAAGAATAAAAGAAATAAAAACAAAAAGTGCTTTAACAAAAAAGTGAAAGAAATGTGACAAAGAAATATATGTGTCATCATAACAAGAACAGTGACAATTCTATATGTATTTGTCTAATGCAGATATTATTCAAATTATATATTTCTAATATGTTTATATGATGTATGTTTAATACGTTTATATGTCTTTTTTTAATCAGCTGTATTCCGTATAAATGAGTCCTGTATTTCATTATACTTATCTGTACAAAGTCTATATCTATAGGCAATCCATTCATAGATGGCAAGTGCAATTCGATCAGTGGTGGGATTTAAAACTTTTACTACCGGTTCTGTGGGCGTGGCTTGGTGGGCATGGCATGGCTTGGTGGGCGTGGCAGAGGAAGGATATTGTAAAATCTCCATTCCCACCCTACTCCAGGGGAAAGTTACTGCAAAATTCCCATTTCCGCTGGGACTCGGGAGGCAGAGAATAGATGGGGGGCGGGGCCAGTCAGAGGTGGTATTTACCGGTTCTCCAAACGACTCAAAATTTCTGCTACCGGTTGTCCAGAACTGGTCAAAACCTTCTGAATACCACCTCTGAATTGGATTCTTCAATCCATTAAATAAATGGAGTCATCTATTTATCTTTTCAGTGCTGCGATATCAATCATTTAGCCATAGTAAGGACACAGAGAATCCAGCTACATCGTCAATTGCCAAATTTCATGGACTATATGATTCAAAAGAATATCATCCTCTGAAAATTTCATGGACTATATGATTCAAAAGAATATCATCCTCTGAAAATTTTAGCATTTGTCTGTCTTCATTTTGGGCACTCACATGTGCAAACCGGTAGGGGAGGTAAGTAAATCCCACTGCTGACTAGGACCCTGGCAGAAATAATTTTTCTGGGAATCTGAGTCCTGATGTCAGGTGTGCCAGGGAGTAACTTGCTGGTAAGAGCTTTACAAGGTAGAGATTGAAATGATTTGAAATGATTTCTGAAAAAAAAAACATTCTTTTCAGCCTCCTTTTATACCACTTCAGAACCCAAAGAATAGCATAAGTAATAAGTAATTCTTTGGATCTAGCATCTTGATAGTATTGATTTACTGGCATTAGAGCTTGGGTCGCCAATTTTGAGGTCCAAGGTATGATCCACCTTCAATCTTCCTTCTCTAAAACCGGCTTGTTCGTCTTTGATTATCCCCCCTGAAATTAGCCAATCTTGAAGTTTATAATTTAGGTGTTTGGCATACNTAATCATAGATATCAATATGTGACCCAACCCCCTCCCCTTGGTAACTCCATCCCATAGTCCAGTCTGAACACCCCACAGGTGTCGTGTGGGAGACATCTTCAAAAATCATCATCAGGTTGGTATGCCGGACAGGTGGCCTTAGCATCAACTCCTCTCTCTGCAGCATGCGCAGTAGATGGTGAGAACAACTCCCTTTTTACAGTCACTCCTGCACAGAACAATTCCCCCACCCAAATACCCCACTCCCCGTTTCAATGGCAGCCGAAACAGAGCAAAACAGAGGCTGACAAAAGGTTTCCCCTGTCCAGTCGTGTCCGACTAAGGGGCGTGTTTCTTAGCCAAGGGAGACAGTATTGTTTGAAGACACTTCTGTTGTCATGTGGCTAGCATGGTTATACAGTATGCTGAAGTGCATGGAACACTGTTAGCTTCCCACCAAAATAGTACCTACTTATCTTCTCACGCATGCTTTTGAATTGCTAGTGGGCAGGAGCTTACCCCATTGTGTGGCGCTTGGGTCTCAAACCTGGGCTTTCAGCTTTCCAGTTGACAAGCTCCACATCTTTAAATGCTGAGCCATTATTAAGATAAATTATTAAATTTATTTATGGATCTAATTTCTTATTAATCATTACTCACATACTTATTTAAACTACCAGAATTTTTATTTAATTACTTTTTGCCCCTGATTTTGAAAACTATTCTAAAATAGAATCCCTGAATATACCTTTCTAAAGCTTTCCCTGTTCAGTTTCCACTCATTGAAATAAGAGCAATCTTGAGAGGCTTGGTTGCTGGATTCAGCTTAATAATCGTAGAAAAGGAAAAATGAGGAAATCAGTCATGACATATATCTTCTCCAGCCTTTTACATCGGGTATAATTATATACCGTATTTTTCGGAGTATAATTCGCACCTTTTCCCCTCAAAAAAGAGGCTGAAAATCTGCGTGCGTCTTATACACTGAATATAGCATTTTTTGCCTCCCAAAACTCCTCCCCATGCATAGCCTTTAGGAGACTTGCAGAGTGTTCCTGGGGGCTGGGGAGGGCAGAAATGAGCAAAAAATGGGCCATTTTTTTGCTCAATTTTGCTCCCTCCTCCAGCCCCCAGGAGCACTCTATAAGCCTCCAAATGCTATGCATGTCCTTTTTTTGGACAAAAAACGGCCCCGTTTTCATAACAAACACGCCATTTTTTGCTCATTTTTGGGTGCCCCCACCCCTCAGGAGTACTCTATAAGCCTCCTAAAGGCTATGCATGCCCCCTTTTTTTGGACAAAAAACGGCCCCGTTTTCATAACAAACACGCCATTTTTTGCTCATTTTTGGGTGCCCCCACCCCTCAGGAGTACTCTATAAGCCTCCTAAAGACTATTCATGCCATTTGGGGGGGGGGGGAAACAGGCCAGTTTTTGCAAAAATGGGCCGTTTTGGGGAGGTCTGTAAACACTTTTTAAAATTTGCCTCTTCAAAATCTTGCTGCATTTTATACTCCAGTGCATCTTATACTCCAAAAATATGGTAAGTGCCTGTTTTTATTGATCATGTAAGCAAGGTAGAATGAATTGATACAATCTCCACTATCGGGGTACATTAATTTTCCCATGGGGCAACATGAGAAATTGGGACCGTTGTGGAGGGCTGTTGCATTCTGTACTGACACCCTGCCCTCTAAATGCTGTTCTGCCTGACGCCACAGGCACACCAATGGTCCTCCACTGCTGGTACCCCACCCAGCCGCTGCTGCTGCCAGACAGGGATGACGCTGGATACGGCCTGGGAAGCTGTAATGTACCCAGATCTAATATATAGTAAATTCAGTTTCCACATCAATGTGCAAGTGATGTTCCGTACATCATATAATCACAGATTCTTAGCAATGGAAGGGAACTTGAAGGTCATGCCTTGCCCGACCCCGTTCAGTTCTTTTGTTAATATTATCTGTTTTTGGAGCATTAGATTATGCTAATGAGATAGCAATAGCAATAACAGTTAGACTTATATACCACTTCATAGGGCTTTCAGCTCTCTCTAAGCGGTTTACAGAGTCAGCATATTGCCCCCACANAACCTTGAGCCGGTGAGATTAGAACCGCTGAACTGCAGATAGCAGTCAGCTGAAGTGGCCTGCAGTACTGCACCCTAACCACTGCGCCACCTCAACAGGAGTGCGTCTTAAGTGTGCATTTTTACGTGGCCCGACAAATGCGTGAACGACAAAAGCGTGAAGACAAAACCGTGGCGCTAAAACCACATCATCAACGCACCAACAACAGTGCCGCGACAGAAGCGCGCCGACAGAAGCGCAATTTAAGTTAAGGTAAGGGTTAGGGTTAGGTTTAGGGTTAGGTTTAGAGCGCGCTTCTGTCGGTGCGCTGTTGTTGGCGTGCTTCAGCGCTCATTCGTCGGCGCGGTTTAGAACTTGCGGTTTTGTCACCGCAGTTTAGTCGGGCGCCCTTTTGTCGGTGAACCCATTTTTCTTACCTGATAGCTCGGATAACTGTTTTAAGTGCTGGAGTTAGATCTTCTACTGATACATCACACTGACATCCTCTTTCATCATATAGGTCATCAGCACCAAGATTGGCCTCAGCTTCAAGAGAAAAGAATTACATAAACAGTATGTACAGTTACAGAATGCAAATCTATATTAACAAAGCTAATAATTGCATCAGATGAATATGAAATACAGCAAGGAAAACTGAACCAATGTAATATGAAAGGGTTTCATTGCAAACAATAAAGTTGCAGAACAGTCCAGGCATGAAGTCTTACCCTATCAACCACCTCCAGCAGTGAGCTCCCCTCAGACTCCAAGCCAAGTGGCAAGTTTTAGTAATCTTCGAGACAGCCAAAAGGATGGGGGCAGTTTTCACCTCCAGTGCAGTGGAGGATTAACAGGGCAGGATTGGAAGCACAGTGAAAAAGGCTCTTCTTCTCCTTGAACCCTACCTGCTGGAATTCCTTAGCGGACAGGATCTGTAGCAAGCCTTTTCCACTGGGCAGGTTAGTCCCATGGGGGTGAGATGGCTCCTCAGATACCCTGGACCCAAGCCGTATAGGACTTTAAAGGTAATAACACCTTGAATTGGACCCAGAAGCAAATTGGTAACCAATGCAGTTTGTACAACAATGGTGTTCTAGAAACTGCTGCATTTTATATCAGCCGTAACCTCCGACTGCTCTTTAAGGGTAGCTTCATGTAGAGCACATTGCAATAATCCAACCAGGAAATAAAAGGGCATAGTGACTATGCACAGGTCCTTATAATCCACTAAGGGTGCAAATGGCAGGCAAAACAAAGTTGCACAAGGGTCCTCCTGGCCGTGACTGCCACCTGCTCTTAGAGCAGGAGTAGCGAGTGGAGGAGAACCCACAGCAGAGGTGGGTTCCTACCAGTTCGCACCTATTCAGTAGAACTGGTTCGTCAAATCTACCGAACTGGTTAGAAGAGGTTCCACCAGTGGACCCGGAAAGCAAGCCACACCTACAGAAGAGGTTCCAAAAATTTTTGAAACCCATCACTGGGCCTTGGGTATGATT